AATCAGACATGAAACAGCGTCTCTTACACCACAAACCTCAGCCTCCCTGCACATCTGCCCTGGATTACAGCCTAGACGCGACAGTAACGCTAACCCGATAAACATGTGTCTCTGTGAGGAGGACGAGGAGGACGAGGAGGAAGACCACAGGAGACAAGATAACTCTTCGTCTCTATCTGCTGTTTGGGCCGAGAGGTGGAGGTCAGGAGGTTAACTCAGACCTCCACACCTCTGCAGCTCTCTAGAACAAGAGCCTGCTCACATCTGCTGCTCAGACTCTCTGCTCCAGTGAACTCACTTTATTCTAGAAGTCAGAAGTGACCAGCATCATTTGGGTTGAATTATTTTGTATGAGAGATCGGATCCTCACAGCCAATAAGTTCAATACAGACGATAAAGCCTACTTTAAAGTCTCAGAGAGTCAGTGCAGAGTCACTGTTGGTTACATGAACACTGAACGTTTTACACAAATGAACCGACTTTATGTCATATTTAAGATGCTAAATGTTTCCCAAATTCTCAGACGTGGGTGGAGTAGCCAACTACTTAAAAATAATAAAATCATGTTAGAAGTACAAATTACAAGTATGAGTAAAAAAGTATTGGTAACATTTTATAATAACTTCACCTTATTTAGCCTTAATAAAGCATGAACAAAGACTTAATTAATAATGATTCACGCATAGTAACTACTTAATTACTACCTGAATTAGCACTTAACTTGCACTTAATTTGCCTGTGCTGTAAATAGTAACTCATAAGTATTTCTTTCTTAATTACTCATGAACTAACCATTTTCATGTTTACAAATGTATATTTAAATACACATTTGAGCATTTATTAATGATTAGTAAGCCATGAGAGAATGATTTACTAATAATGCAATGCAATGATCATTCAGGCAGCTGTTATCTGTTAGTTAAGTCTTTCTGAGAGCTTTTCTAAAGTGAAGACTAACTATGCTTTATTAAACATTTCATAAGGTTGGTCAAATTCCAGAGAAACAATAATGCATTATTAGTAAATCATTCTTTCATGGCTTAATAATCATTAATAAATGCTAAAATGTGTACTTAAATATACATTTACAAATGCACACACAAATGGATAGTTCATGAGTAATTAAGTAAGAAATACTTATGAGTAACTATTTACAGCACAGGTGAATTAAGTGCAAGTTCAGTGCACTTACTAAGTTACTAAGCATGAATCATTATAAATTAAGTCTTTGTTCATGTTTTATTAAGGCTAAATAAGGTGTAGTTATTATAAAGTGTTACCAAAGTATTTTGTGAAAACTGCTACTAAAGAAAGAGTCACATTGTGCCATTTGATCTATAATTTAAAGTGAATATAATTTAACAATGAGAACAATCTGGTATTTTCAAAGGACAGATGCAAAAATGAGACAAACTAAATCAGATCTGAAGGAGCTGCAAGAAACACACATGTTCAAATCATTCCAGATTGTCATTGTCAGAGTTTCATATATTAGAATTACTGACAGTGGAAAAGGAACCACGTTTACTCGAGTAGGAATACGGTTACTTCAATAAAAACATTATTAAGTTAGCAGAAAAAATATTCTATGAAAAAAAAGTGACTTAAGTAAATATAATGGACTAATACCAGTGTTGGGGAAGAACAGATTACATGTAATCAGAGTTACGTAATCAGAGTACAAATTATGAGTAACTGTATTCAGTTACAGTTACTGTTTCAGTGAGTGATAATTGGATTACAGTTACTTTGTTGAAATAAATCGATTACACGGCGGTATTTTCCTGTTTTCATATTTCAGGCTACATCCTTTTTTTTTTTTTTCTTTTTTTTTCTTTCCGGTAATTCCACTCATTGCCGGACACTAAACCAGGTCTAAACCAGGTCCAAACCAAGACTAAATCAGGTCTAAACCAGGTCCAAACCGAGACTAAATCAGGTCTAAACCAGGTCCAAACCGAGACTAAATCAGGTCTAAACCAGGTCCAAACCAAGACTAAATCAGGTCTAAACCAGGTCCAAACCAAGACTAAACCAGGTCTAAACCAGGTCCAAACCAAGACTAAATCAGGTCTAAACCAGGTCCAAACCAAGACTAAATCAGGTCTAAACCAGGTCCAAACCAAGACTAAACCAGGTCTAAACCAGGTCCAAACCAAGACTAAACCAGGTCTGAACCAGGTCCAAACCAAGACTAAACCAGGTCTGAACCAGGTCCAAACCAAGACTAAACCAGGTCTAAACTAGGTCCAAACCAAGACTAAACCAGGTCTAAACCAGGTCTAAACCAAGACTAAACCAGGTCTAAACCAAGACTAAACCAGGTCTAAACCAGGTCTAAACTAGGTCCAAACCAAGACTAAACCAGGTCTAAACCAAGACTAAACCAGGTCTAAACCAGGTCTAAACTAGGTCTAAACCAAGACTAAACCAGGTGTAAAACCAGGTCTAAACTAGGTCCAAACCAAGACTAAACCAGGTCTAAACCAGGTCTAAACCAGGTCTAAACCAGGTCTAAACCAGGTCTAAACCAAGACTAAACCAGGTCTAAACCAAGACTAAACCAGGACTAAAATCAGGTCTAAACCAGGTCTAAACCAGGACTAAACCAGGACTAAAACCAGGTCTAAACCAGGTCTAAACCAGGACTAAACCAGGTCTAAACCAGGTCTAAACCAGGACTAAACCAGGTCTAAACCAGGTCTAAAACAGGATTTAACAGGACTAAATCATGCTGGTGGACGTGTCTCCTCTTCTATCAATAATATTTTTAATATGGTTCAGACTGGTCTTTTTTATTGTCTTTTAGCAGTAATCCAAAGTATTCAGATTACAGTACTCACTTTAAGTCATTTAATTTGGGGTATGTAATCTGTAATCTGTAGGGGAAATACATTTTAAAAGTCACCTTCCCAACACTGACTAATACTCTCCTCTGGTTGTGGGCAGTAAATAGTTCCAAGGTCATGGATTATTATACGATCACTGCTTTAGAATTTCATTGATCTAACACGTTACAATTTAAAACTAATTTAAACAGTTTAAAACTTTGTAATTATATTGCTGTGACCATCCTTAGTAAATTTAGTCTTAATCCAGAATGAGTGAACTGCACTGAACTGTGTCATAAACAGTAAAAGTGATCAAAGGGAAGAGCATGTGATGTCATGGTTTTGTGACAGATGCAGATCAGCTGTGAACCAGAACTATACAAGTCATGAAAAACGTCTGTAATTGAACCAGTGCAAAATGAATGAGTGTGGAGCATTCCAGCCACAAGAATCACAAGAGAAATCATTTCACGATGACAAGACAAAGCCTCACTCTTGTATATAATGTACTGTCACTTCAAAAATATATATATGACAAAAGTACAGTTACTGCCCATTTCACAGCACCACACAATGACTCCACTTAAAGACCTCACTTCTGACCGGAGATGAACAGATGTGTGGACACGAAAGAAACACATGACAGAGCACAGAGAAGGAGCAGAAAACAGAGGAGCAGAGAGAGAAGAGGAGAAGAAAACAGAGGAGCAGAAGAGAAGAGGAGCAGAAAACAGAGGAGCAGAAGAGAGAGAGGAGAGAGAGAAAACAGAGGAGCAGAAGAGAAGAGGAGCAGAGAGAGGAGGAGCAGAAGAGGAGCAGAGAGGAGCAGGTCCAGAACAGCACCTCTGTGACACATGGACCATAGTGTCTGGAGCCAGTGTGGCCGAGCAGAAACAGGTCAGAGAAAACCAAGATATGAACAAGTAAGATACAAGCTGAAAAGTTACATCTGAAGACCACTGTGTAAAAGTGGAGTGAAACTCGTCCTTCCATTGTCCAAAATGCTGAACCTGTAATCACTGACCCTGTCCAGACAAAAAACAGACTTTCGTTCAAACATCCTCTGGGCCAGCATAAGATCCATAAAGTCCTAAAACCCTAAAACCTAAATTGTGGCTGAGACAGTTGAATGGTTTCAGGGCTCTCAAAGCACCATCTCTGTTCTCATGTACTTTCCTCATCACAAACCTACTTTGAGTTGTGTTTCATTCACACGTTTAACACTTCCTGCACATTTGGGCTGAGATCCTGCACCTTACCTCCGTGCTGATTGGGCGGGACTGTGGTGTAGTGTTGGTACAATACAAACATTCAAACTCAATTTCAACACTAAAGAATAAACTAATGATCATATGGTAGAGGAGCACTGGTCAGGGGGGACGGGGGTGGTCTGGTCGGGGGGTACGGGGGTGGTCTGGTCGGGGGGGGACGGGGGTGGTCCTCACCTATGCGCTGGTCGGGGGGCACGGGGGTGGTCTGGTCGGGGGGACGGGGGTGGTCCTCACCTATGCGCTGTGGTCGGGGGCACGGGGGGTGGTCGGGGGACGGGGGTGGTCTGGTCGGGGGGCACGGGGGGGTGGTCTGGTCGGGGGGCACGGGGGTGGTCTGGTCGGGGGGGACGGGGTGGTCTGGTCGGGGGGGCGGGGGTGGTCTGGTCGGGGGCACGGGGGTGGTCTGGTCGGGGGGATGGGGGGTGGTCCTCACCTATGCGCTGGTCGGGGGGGCACGGGGGTGGTCTGGTCGGGGGGGATGGGGGTGGTCCTCACCTATGCGCTGGTCGGGGGGCACGGGGGTGGTCTGGTCGGGGGGGACGGGGTGGTCCTCACCTATGCGTCTGGTCGGGGGCACGGGGGTGGTCTGGTGGTCTGGTGGGGGGCACGGGGGTGGTCTGGTCGGGGGGACGGGGGTGGTCCTCACCTATGCGCTGGTCGGGGGCACGGGGGTGGTCTGGTCGGGGGGAAGGGGGTGGTCCTCACCTATGCGCTGGTCGGGGGGGGGGTGGTCTGGTCGGGGGGTACGAGGGTGGTCCTCACCTATGCGCTGGTCGGGGGGTACGGGGGTGGTCTGGTTGGGGGGTACGGGGGTCCTCACCTATGCGCTGGTCGGGGGCACGGGGTGGTCTGGTCGGGGCACGGGGGGTCTGGTCGGGGGGTACAGGGTGGTCCTCACCTATGCGCTGGTCGGGGGGCACGGGGGTGCGCGCGGTCACGTTGAAGCACACGATGGCGGACATACAGGTGACGTCTTTGCCTCCGCGCTGACAGTCCTTCACGAACACGTTGATCTTACTGGGCTCAAAACTCACCGACGCGTAGATCCGGACCACGCTCTGGGACCTAAGGGCAAAGTGGAGGCACAGGAGAATGACCCCACTGACAGCAGGCAGGTTTCCACACTATACATTCTACATTTCAATGAGACGATTTACATACAGAGAATCAGATTTATTCTAGATACTGAAAGAAAGAATACAATAAGTCAACATCTTGATCAAAGTTTTTTCTGTTCAATAAATAATCCCTGTGAAGTGATGACATATTTTTCACAGTCAAGTCGTGTCTGTGAATTTCTTTTTGTACTGAAGAAAATATAATCGTATTTTCTTGATGTTGTAACTTTTTAATTCCTATTCTGATGGATAAAATACACACAACACATTTTCTGTTCGTTTACAAATATTTATTTTATGCTCAACTACAGACAAATGTGCACTGATTTCTCTCCTTAGCTCACAAATATTTCTGAATGATTTCTTACTCCAGAACTGTAAACTGCTCCTGTCATCAGTACATAAGGTAAGTGCAGCTGTAGGCATGTGCAACCTACACACAGTGTTGGGGAGTAACAGATTACATGTACCGGAGTTATGTAATCAGAGTACAAATTATGAGTAACTGTATTCAGTTACAGTTACTATTTCAGTGAGTGGTAATTGGATTACAGTTACTTTGTTGAAATAAATGGATTACACAGAGGTATGTTCCTGTTTTCACATTTTGGGCTATATCCCTTTTTTTTTTTTTTTTTTTTCAGTAATTCCACTCATTGCCGGAAACTAAACCAGGTCTAAACCAGGACTAAAACCAGGTCTAAACCAGGACTAAACCAGGACTAAACCAGGGCTAAACCAGGTCTAAACCAGGTCTAAACCAGGACTAAAACCAGGACTAAACCAGGACTAAACCAGGGCTAAACCAGGGCTAAACCAGGACTAAAACAGGACTAAAACAGGACTAAACCAGGACTAAACCAGGGCTAAACCAGGACTAAAACAGGACTAAAACAGGACTAAACCAGGACTAAAACAGGACTAAACCAGGACTAAAACAGGACTAAAACAGGACTAAACCAGGACTAAAACAGGTCTAAACCAGGACTAAAACAGGACTAAACCAGGGCTAAACCAGGACTAAAACAGGACTAAAACAGGTCTAAACCAGGACTAAAACAGGACTAAACCAGGACTAAACCAGGACTAAAACAGGACTAAACCAGGACTAAACCAGGACTAAAACAGGTCTAAAACAGGACTAAACCAGGACTAAATCATGCTGTGTGGACCGTGTGTCCTCCTCTTCTATCAATACTATTTTTCATTTGGTTCAATAAAGTCTGGGGTTTTTATTTTCTTTTACAGACAAAACTTCTTATTTTACGATTTCTTCGTCTTTGCTTCTCTACAGCAAATCAAGTAATCCAAAGTATTCAGATTAAGTTTCTCACCTAAAGTAATTTAAAGGATTCTGTTGCAAACTACATTTTGGGGTATGTAATCTGTAATCTGTAGGGGAATACATTTTAAAAGTAAACTTCCCAACACTGCATATACATATACACTTTTCATATCAATATTTTTTGGAAATAGTGTTATTTTGTTAACATGATCGCCTAAAATGTTAGACAAGCGCAGTTTATTCATTATCTGTTTTTTCCATTATTCATTTAAACACAAAATCGAAAACTGAACAAAATGAATCGTTATGTGTTTTTTCATTTTGGTTTTGGAGACACATAATGAAGAAAATAGTTGCTTTTTCGTTTTCTTAGTTTGGTTTTATTTTGCCAAACGAATGAACAAATGATACATGGATTCTAAAAGCATGACATGTACCAGCATTACTGAAGACTAAAACTACGACTGAAAGTACTGATATATTCATTAAACAGGCACTAAACATAAAATGAATCACATTTGACCTAACTTGGTCCTGGTTTGAATCCTGTTTACACCTGATGTACACTTGGTTTGGTTCTGTTTTAGTCCCGTTTTTATTTGCAGATTTGGTCCCAATTCAGTCCCAATTTTACGTCGTAATTGTAAACACATCCTAGATCTAAATTCTACTTTTCAACCCCAGAGCCCCAGAGTCAGAATTTGACCCTCTTTTTATTACAGTATTTTTCAGACTCAGGCACACTTAAAATCCTTTCATTTTCTCAAAAATCGACAGTGCGCCTTATGTATTAATTCTGGTTGTGCTTATTGACCTCGTTGAAAGGAACGTGTGGATGTGGAGACGGAGCCAAGAGTGGTGAGTGGTGATGTGCTTCGCTTCAGTGACACAGAATTCAATGACAAAACTTTCAGACTAAAGTCGCATGTTAAAAGATCAGATATGTATCAGTTTCAGGAGCACATATCCAAGTGGCCTGGGTCACATTTGAAAAAATCGGATCTGTGTCGTTCAGACTGTCATTAAAAGATCAGATACAGGTCACATTGAAGCCAAAAAATCTGATTTTGGTCACTTCAGGCTGCAGTCTGAACGTAGCCATAGTTTATACAAATGAGCTATGTGGTTTTAAGTTTAGTTTCTGTAAAACGTAAATAAATGTGGCAAAGCTGCATTAAACACATTTTTACTCAATGTATATTTGAGTCGTCCTCGTAGGAAATAAAAAAAAAAAAAAAAAACTTAAATGATCCACCAACATTCATATTCATAACACACATTCACCAAGACAGAGGCAACGTCGGGTGAATTACATCATGATCGTGGAAGCCTGGCTAAGGCATCAGTCTCAAGTGTCGTCCATTTGTTTTTACTTAATGCGCCTTATAATCTGGTGCACTTTATAGTCAAAAAAATATTCATATTAGAATGTTTCCCATGACCGGCCTTTGGTCAAGACTCAGGGTAAAGCGAGTATGCCATGTTCCTCTATTTGTAACAAAAGATGGTTTAGAAAGACAAAGATAAGATCAAAGTATTTATGTATTTTATATGTATTTTTGTTTCAGTTGTTGTGATGACAATACAGTGTTATAATAAAAAAGGTTAATGCAAAGCCATCGTTAAGTTTCTTTATGCAGCTGAAATGTAAAGTGACAAATTCTGTTAATCTCTTCAAATTTATAATGGTGACAAACTCAGAATGTAACATTTTAGATTTAAAAGTAGGACCTAACTACCTCAATATTAGAACTTTTCTTCAAGAGAATCACTTTAAATGCAGACTGAGAGCAGAGCTACGAACCAGAGCAGGACAGCGGCCCCGAGCGAGCCCACAGCCAGGTCCACCAGCCTGTCCCCGTTCATGTCCATGGCCCCGTGAACACTGCGGCCAAAGTACTGCAGCCCAGGAGCCAGGTCTGAGGCTGCGATCCTCTGAGGACACACACACACACACACACACACACAGGTCGATCAGAACACAACAGTGCACAGTGTTTAAACAGACAGCAAATTATTCAAACATCCAACACCCACAAAATGACTACAGACCCTTGTGCTTGTTTTTGGTTTTAGGAGGTGGTGTGGTGTCCTTCCTGCATGGTTGGTTTGCCTGGTGGACCAAAACCACATACTTTGAGAAGACGTCTGGGTTTGGAATCATATCCTGTCTCCTCAGCGTGTTCGCTGGACGTGATTGACAGGCGGATTAACCAATTAGAGACATGCAAGCCCCATGTGTAAAGAAACAGGGCGGCTTACGAGTAAAAAATAAATAAATAAATGTGGGTTCAAACTGAATGAAAGAGCTGGCTGCTCAGGCAGGTTTTTGGTTTTGGGATGTGTGTTCTATCTGCTTCATTTATTTTATTTCAGTTCTGAGCTGCTTGTTCTTGTTTCTGGTTTCACAATATGAACTCTTACTTGCTTATACTTGCGCAGGATGCGGTTGTGCTGGCTGAAGAACACGTACACTGCCCCCTTGTGGTCGTCCTCCAGGGGAGCCCCCACCACCAGGTCATTGAAGCCGTCTCCGTTCAGGTCTGGGACGGGGGCCAAAGAGGAGCCGAAGCGTGCGTTCTGTCCACCATTATGGATCTCCAGAGCGCCCTCAAACACAAAACGGTTCTGCAAAGAATCCACAAATCATTTGATTATTTACATCCGAAGAGCATAAGGTACATGGGCAGTCCCAGCAGGATGGTACAGTTCGTGTGTATATATAGGGTGTGCTGCCAGTTCCTAGAAACAAAAGGCTGATGGTTTGATTCCCACCCAAGCACTGTTGATGCATTCCTAGGTTAGACATTGCCCACTTGGAGAAGAGCCGCTGCTTCTCCACGTGGAGAGGAGCAGCTGAGGGGAGGGCTTCTATCCTGGTGCCTCCTGGACGCCTCCCTGAGGAGGTGTTCCTGTTCCACCGGCCCACGAGGCCCCGGAGAAGACTCAGGACACACTGGAGGAACTATGTCTCTGGTCTGGTCTGGGAACGCTTTAAGGTCCCAGCAGAGGAGCCAGAGGAAGTGTCTGGGGAGAGTGTAGTCTCCCTCCTCACACTGCTGCCCCTCCTCCATTCCTCGAGGAATGAGGGTGGATGGGAGATAGTTCTCTCCCGTCTCAGTGACCAGTAGGGGAGGGTAAAATGTGCCGGAGCAGCTTGTGATTATTTTAGTGGTTTCCACAGATAAAGACGAGCAGCTGGGTAGAAAAAAAAACATACACTGATGAAAGGTTTTGACAGAAGATTTACATTAACGGAATCGTCAGTCATGCTGACCAAGGCTGACCAAGCACCAGTGTGATGAGTCACTTATGGATCACATATGACACATGAGCACATGTCAGACACATGTCCAGAGCAAAGTCCTCTGCAACTGTCTCACTTTTATTGTGAAATCTAAAACCGCAGGACGCAGCTGCATGGACATATTCACTATAATCGACCATCCGCATGGCTACAGATTAAAGTCACAGTTATAGTGGACCAGCTGAATACTGGAGAGAGAAGTGGAAGTAATGTCTGAGACACAACAGCACAATGTGTTTGGGCACAGTTCACCTTATAGTTAATGGGCCAATGCTTAACCCACTGCACCACAGTATTTATCTTATAATGAACCGTATCAAACCTCCTTCTCTCATGGGAGTTTGTTGATACACTTATTATCTGAAACTCATCTTCAGACCACACATTGTCAAACAGGAAACTCACATCTTTCGTTTGATCCATCCACTCCTCTGCCGATCAAATTCTGTTTGTGAACTCAAATAACTTCCGAAGAAATGTCAGGAATCTTTGGATTTAAAAGCAGACTATATCCTGGTGCAGGGTTTAAGTCTGGTCTATTCTTAGCAGCTCATAAGTCTGACAGAGACAGGCCCAGACGGTGACAAGGGGAAAACCACAGGGGCAGAATAGTGCAGTAGTATTCATGCAGATCATTGGCCTCCCTGTGGTAAAGGTGATAGAAGTTGAGCTGGCGTGATTTTCCAGTTGAACAAATGGAAAATCAGGTACCTCATCTTTAAAGAGCCCATATTACACACCGTATACCTGCAGCTGCATTTTGTTTAACAAACCCTGCAGATTCTTCTCTCAGACTGAAAACACTCTGTTCCACCTTGTAACATACAGTGTTGGGAGTAACGCGTTATAAAAGCAACAAATTACTGTAATGTGTTGTTTTTTGCTGTAACACAGTAATGTGGCATTACAGGGAAAAAAAAAAAAAAATCATATTTAACTGGAACAAATGTGTGTCACAATGCTTTTTAATCCTGGATTGAAGTGGTGGGTTTTTGTTTTCTTCATACAAATTTGTTAAAATCACTGTGATATCAGCTGTGGTGAAACGCCAGCGTTACGGTTCCGAGTGTCAGGACGAGCCTGGAGGTGCGCCCGTGTAGACCGTCGGGTGACCGCGAGCGAAAGGACTGACGCAGAACTCCACGCTCCACGGGGCTAAACGCAGCTGACACCTGATCGAGCTTTGCGGACACAGGTTAGTCCTTGTTTAGTCCTGGTTTAGTCGTGATTTAGTCTTGGTTTAGTCCTGGTTTAGTCCTGGTTTAGACCTGGTTTAGTCCTTTTTTTAGACCTGATTTAGTCCTGGTTTAGACCTGGTTTAGTTCTTTTTTTTTAGACCTGGTTTAGTCCTGGTTTAGTCCTAGCAGGTCCTGGTTTAGACCTAGTTCAGTGATGGTTCAGCTCTGGTTTAATCCTGGTTAAGTCCTGGTTCAGTTCTGGTTCATTTCTGGTTTAGTCCTGGTATAGACCTGGTTTAGTCCTGGTTCAGTCCGAATAATGCGCAAAAGTTCGGCGTCTTCTCTCGCAGTCAGTGACAGTTATTTTGGTGAGAGTAAGTTAAAGTACTGCAGTAGTCGTGTAATGTTGTACATTTTTAAACTAATTACTTTGAAATGACAGTAACAAGTCATAAATAAATAAATAACACTTCACAGTTTTAAAGTCACTTGCCCAACACTGGTAATGCAGGAATCTTTCAAACAAGAATGAAACTTCATCAAAAACTGAAGAAGGGTCATCTGGTTCTAATCCTCCTCTGTGTTTTTAAAGTGCCTCACACAGGTAACTGACTAATTAACATTGACATTAACGTTGACATTAGCAGCTCGAGTGATTAAGTCTGCTTCAAGAGCCAGACGCTGACAAGTGGAAAGAGTAGGAGCAGGATAGTGCAGTAGTCTCTGCAGTAGTCTGTGTGTGTGATTGGCCTCTCTGTGCTGAAGGTGATAGAACTTGAGCTGTCTTGTTTTTCCAGTTGGACAGATGAGCAGAGGTGGATTGGGGAGCTGGGCGTGGAGATGAGAGCTGGTGTCAGGGACAGACACGGGGAGGGAGCAGGCTCAAAAACACACTGACGGCTGCTGTTTAATAGGAAACATATGGGCGAGCGCTCAGGTCACAGTGAGTCCACAGTGGGTGATATACAGAAGGACCTCTGCGCTGTAGGGGTCTGAGAGGGCTGCTACTCACTGTTTAGACAGGACAGGGTCTGGACCAGGTCTTAAAGTTAAGGTTAAGGTACATTTAATTGTCCCCACAGGGAAGTTTGTCCTCGACATTTGAACCATCTTTCAATGCATCTTAGGTATTGGGACCCTTCTCCAGATCTTGAACTAGTCTTGGTCAGGATTACCTTAGCTGGAGGATTTTATTATAGACTGTTGTGCATGTTTTGGGTTGATGGGGGAAACTGGCGGAAACATCGTCTAGTCCAGCTCCCGGCCACATACGGTTCTTTGATCGACTCTGACGGGCCTGTTTAAGCTCATTTGGAATTACAAAATAAACATATTTTATAATTTTACCTCATGAATGTACCAAAGCTGCATTGCTTTTATTTTAGATGTGTTTTTTTATTCACGTACAAAATGACGCAATGTGAAACTCAAGACGTTTGCGTACAATTAATATTATGCAGAACTGAGTTAAGCATTTTGGCCTCAATATTTTCTGTTTCTCATGTGGCCCATGGAAAAAAGAATTGCCCACCCCTGTTCTAGGCACAGGGAGAACATGCAAACTCAACACAGAATGGCCCGGGCAACCTGGAACCTTCTTGCATTGGAACAAGAGTCTAGCCACTGTGCCTCATTTGGAGAAATCAAAGTTAAAAAAATTAACATACACGTTATTGTTCCTGTAGGTAAATTTGTTCTCTGCATTTGAAGAAGGGAACACACCAGGGAGACACAGGGAGAGCATGCAAACCATCCTTCAACACTGGAGACAAGGTGGGTGAAGTGTCTTGCCCAAAGACACACTTGGTATTCTGAACCATGAACTAAATCTAATCTTCACAAAGACTTAACCAGGACTAAAGCAGGACTAACCTACAGCCTCATCTAAACCTGAACTAAATCATCTCCAAATGGATGAACTCTCTCTGTCATTTTCTACAGGTGGAGGTAAGTATCACGTACACTGATCACTCATGTTCTAGTGGTAAAAGCTGTGTTTCATATTTATAATGAGGAGGTGCAGGTGAGGGACCAGACTTTATTCTTGTAAATCAAAGAATGATGAATGTTTTCCCCTCACTCACAAGACACATGATGTGACTATTGCAGTGTTCTGATTGGTTGTGTCTGGGTGCTTCGTCACAGTTTCACTTTGTTGTTTGAATAAAAGTTGTTCTAAACTCTTGCCTACATGTGGATATAAACACTGTCCCAAAGATACAGGAGCTAGTGAGACTGGACTGATTACTTTTAACCTTTTGTGGTTTGAAAATCAGGTACATCATCTTTAAAAGATTAATCTGGTCTTAATACTTCTCTGTGTTTTTAAAGTGTGTTTTTACCACAATTATAAATCAGTGCTAGTGCAAAACCAGTCTGTGTACTGAGGAGGAGAAAAACACAGATGCGTCTACTTCATGACATCACTATGGAAGATCATTTGTTTCATCAGATTTTGAATTTGAAACGCCGTTGAATTTCTCACGTTGAATTTTTACTCTGAAAAAACATATTTGAATTATTTTTATTCTGAAAGTGTACATTTTCAAATTGTATAAAATTCAAAATAAAAATGTCACCTTTTAAATATTCTGCACAATATTTTCAAGCCCTCAAATTCAAAAGTCAAAATTCAGAGTGTAAAATTCTCAGCAAAGTTCTGAGATGCCAAGGCAGAAGCAATCGCTCCAAAGTAATCTAACTTAGTCAAAAGAGACAGAAAACGCACACCAAAATTCTTGTAGAGGTGCAAATGCAAGGAGCAGCCAGACAAAAGTGAAAAAATGTGTTGGACCACAGACAGAACACAGTGTGCTGTGGTCCAAAGCAACAAAAATATCTGATGAAGGCTTTTTAGCCGAAATGTTATTTTGAAAATAAAAAAGCTTTTGGACATCTGAGTGTGCTATGCCATTTTTCACTTTTGCTGATCTAATTCAGTAACAAGCAGGAAATGGTGCAGTGAAGTGATGTGATTGGTCAGAATTAGCCTCGTCAAAACCTCGTCTCTTTGATTTGTTAAGTGTAAACCCCGCCCACAGATGAGAGTGGCCAATAGGAAACAGCCTCACCCAGGATCAATTAATTCTGTCTTGGTATCTTGGATTGCGACATTTTTCACAGCTCTAAATTTTTCACAGCTCACTCATTAATGTGGGACTCCTCGTCCCACAGTCACCAACCTCTGTGTCATCTTAGACTGATTTTAAATTTGACAAACAGATCAACAATGTTTTAAAATCAAGTTTTTATCATTTGCGGCTTTTATCTAAAGTTAAACCTTTTTTTTAAATATTTTAAACTTTTTGAACAAGTAATACAGGCTTTTATTTCATCACGCCTGGACGACTGTAACACACTTTATTCTGGCATCTCACAAAACGCACTTTACCAACTACAGTTTGTCCAAAACTCTGCAGCGCGACTTTTAACAGGAACAAAAAGAAGAGAGCACATTACCCCGATCCTTATGTCTTTGCACTGGCTTCCTGTTAATTTTAGAATTTATTTTAAGATTTTATTGTTTGTTTTTAAAGCTTTGAATGGACTAGCGCCACAGTACGTCTCGGACCTCATCCAAATTTAAACCCCTGCACGTGCTCTGAGGTCTGAGGTCCAGCTCCAGCTCGTGATGCCAAAAACGAGACTTAAAACCAGGAGGACAGGACCTTCTCTGTGGTCGGCCCTAAACTCTGGAACATTCTGCCCCCCCACGTCCCAACAGCCCCACAGTGAAGAGTCTTAAGCAGGGTGTCAAACTCATTTTGGTCTGGGGGCCATAGCCAACCTACTTTGATCCCAAAGGGGCCGGATCAGAAAACTCATGTCATATAAACCCCAAAAAAACAATAAGTTCAAATACTTGCGCAGAGAAACACAAATCTATTACAGAAATCTTTTTTAATTGATGAACTCTTTCTTTTACAAAATATTATAATATTATGAACAACCTGAAACTATAAGAAAAATTCTATTTCAACACAATGTTTTAACAATAATTTGTATGCAAACAGGAATAAGTCAAATTTTCTTGGAAAATCCTGCTCTCAGCTCCACTTTTCTCATGTTGGACATTTTTCTGATGAGGGTGTCACGGTCAACAGTCAAAACGATCGTCCTTTAAGAGCGTTTGGAAAGACACAAGTCTTCATTTGTGCTGCTCTGGTGGGAGGGGCCACGTACAGAGACGCTGGAGACGCTGCTATAATAAACACCACAGAAAATTACCAATATTCTAATAGAAAATACAATTCAAATATTTTAGCAGAAAATCTGCCAAGGGCCAGATTAAAGGTCTTGGAGGGCCGGATCTGGCCCCCGGGCCGTATGTTTGACACCTGTGATCTTCAGTCTCGTCTTAAGACCCACTTTTATTCTCTGCCTTTTAACATCGCGTGAGTTGTCTGCTCCTCTGTGTTTTTTATTTCTTTCATGTGTTTTTATTGGTTTTATTGATTTAATGTATTTATTTCTATTCTATGATTTTGTTCTTATTTTATGTTACTGGTTTTATTATTTGAAGACCAGTGTTATTTTAGTCTTAGTTTATTTTATCATTTTATTATTGTTGTTATTATGTATGATATTATGTATTTGTGCAGCCCTTTGGAAACTGTTTGTGAAATGTGCTATAGAAATAAAGTGGATTAGATTGAATTTTGACTTTTGAATTTGAGGGCTTCAAAATATCTGTGCTGAACATTTAAAAGGTGACATTTTTATTTTGAACTTGAAACATATTTAAAAAGTTTAAAGTCTAAGTCTTAATTTAAACATCTTTTTTTCAGATTTAGAAAATTCAAAGTGGGAAATTCAGTGGTATTTAAATTCTAAATCTGATGGAACAAATGATTTTCCATACGTCTCAAAGTGGAGCAGAGCATTTTGAGCTTTGAGATGTAGACAGACTAATAATAAAGAGTTAATCAAACATGTGCGAATGAAACAAAACACGAGTCCAGGTCTGTTTTCGGTGTGGGATATTATTATAACACGGCTTAGAGCTCACACGAGTCCATTTTGTGTAATATAGGACCTTAAAAATATCAGACTCTGGCAAAAACACCATTTATCTTGAAAGCCTGTACCTTAACCTGAACATATCTCCATAAAACTTCTACACTCCTACAGTCTGATCATAAAGTTTCCTACTGCCTTTCCACGACTTCCACATGTGCACCTGAGTCAACCCCGTCGCCGTCACTGGGCCTCTCCTCCTCGGACCCTCTGCTGCCCGTCCTCCGGTCTGGACTACAACACAAATCTCCAACCATTTCCACGTCTGTTTAAATGCAGTCAAAACAGACCCTCCGAGCGCATTTGTTATTCCAATGAGCGACTACCAGGACGACGCAGAGCTGTGGGACTTGTCCTCGTATTCCTGAAAGTTCTCACCTCCAAACTGCTTGCTGGAACTGGCCCTAAACTTCCAGATTCTTTCCCTTTGAGTTCACCGTGCAGCGCTAATAAAAGGGGGTACAGTGGGGTGGCGGTTTGATGTTTTTTCGAGGGGGTGGGGTCAGAGGTCGCGCGGTGTTACCAGTGGAGTGTTTGAAAAGAGCGGAGGGAGAGTGGAGTTTAAACAGGTGTGAGTCTATTAGGACCAGGTTAGGATGATTAGTGCTTGTAACTGCCAGTGTGTGTGTGTGTGTGTGTGTGTGTGTGTGTGTGTGTGTGTGTGTGTGTGCGTGTGTGTGCGTGTGTGTGTGTGTGTGTATGGAGCAGTATGTGGGTCACTTGGAAGGAAAAAAATCTACATAAAGAAGGATGACGAATGTTGTTCTAGTGACTCGTAGAGCGTACTGGAAATGGGGCAGACAGGCCTATTACACTTACCTGTACATACTCAATCACCCCGATCACTTTTTCTATCCACTATTATTTTTTAATATAAAATTATTTCTAAAATGTTGGTCAGGTATTTTTGTCTTGGTCTAGTGTTGGTCTAGTCCAGGTTTAGTTCCAGGCTTAGTCCCTGTGTTGTGTAAGAATACAGCTTAAAAATCACATAAAAATAACATTTCTAGTGAAGGGTCCACTAGAGGTCTGCACGAGACAGAATTTTCAGTCCCACTCCTGCCCGCACCCGCACTGTGGAGGCCCGATCCCGCCCGCTCCCGCAATATTTTGTCCCGCTCCCGCCCGCAAATCCCGCAAGATGGGGACATTCACTTTCTTCAAATTCACTCTATCAAACACAGAGAAGCAGAAAGGAAAACAGTGGTCCCCAATCTTTTCTGAGCCACAGAGCGGTTTTATATCAGACGATATTTTGCAGATCGGAGGGAGTAGGAGGAGGTGCGGCAGTCTGGCGGCATGATTAAGTCCTGGCTACATCCTGTTTTAGTCCTGGTTTTAGACCTGGTTTTAGACCTGATTCTAGACTTGGTTTAGACCTGGTTTGATTCTGGTTCAGTTCAGTTTGGTTCTGCACGACATACGGGAGGGGGAAAACATGTGTGAAAGAAACAAAACACAACTCCAGGTGTGTTTGTGATGAGGAAACAACATTAGAACAGATCAGAAACAGTGTAACATGGGCCCTTTAATGTATATTTATATCATACTGAGACGGCTGTGATTTCAAAATGTAAAAGAAAAACAGTTCTTCATCCTCCTGTGAGATCCTGGTGTGTGGTTACCTGCTCGGTGACTCTGTAGATGTAGACCTTTCCTTTCTCCATGCCGGCGCTGAAGAACATGGGAGCGGCCACCAGCAGGTTATCGGTCACTCCGTCTCCGTCGATGTCCACAGGAGCGATCTCACTGCCGTAGTACGAGCCGATCTGGACAAGAAGAAGATTACACTCATTGTGTATTTCATGTCAATACATTCCATAGGTCTAAAACATTTGCCTTTTACCTATTCATTTTCATTTAATTTTGTTTGTTGAATATTTTACCAGGTAAGTCAATTGAGAACACCTTCTTATTTGCAATGATGACCTGACCAAGAGGCACAAACAGAAAACACTCAAACATAAACCAGAACATGAAACAGTGAATAGAGACATGAGACAATGAAACATTTGCACATTAAAGATATAAAAGTGTTAAAAGCATGTGCAATGATCCTGTAAAATACTTGAATACAATGATTGGGAGGACTCTAGTTTTAATCAAAAGCTCTTTTGCGGGGTGTTTGAAACGATACAGGAAACCTATTCTTAGTTTGGTTTTAGTGAGCAGACTGTGAATGTGTCAAAATGAAATGAAGAATCTAGCCCAGGGGTGTCAAACTCAAATTCACAGAGGACCAAAATTCAAAACTGGGATAAAGTCGTGGGCCAAACTAAATATTTATTGAAAAATTTCAACAACATCTGCATGTTTTTTCTTCTTTGAAGATCTGTAATGTTAAACTTTTTCTTATTCAAATAAATGTTTGATAATAGTTTTACTTAAACACTGAATCCAGAACAAGCAGAATGTAAAATAATAACAAAAATTTAAATAAATAGTGTTTCTATAGTCTATCTGTAGCCGGCGGGCATACATATTTGATATGATCTCGTGGGTAAAATATAATTAGATCGGGGGAGCAGGGAGAATCCAGTGCTAAGACAAGTATGGTGTCATCTGTGTTAGATTGTCCAGTGGTTTGTGTGATGTTGTTAATATAGACATTGAACAGGGTGGGTCAAGAACAGATCCCTGGGATTTAAAGGGTCTATTTTATGGTATCTACTGATCTATGTTCTAATGTAGTTTCCTCATCACACACAGAGCTGGATTGTGTTTTGTTTCATTCACACGTGTTTAACACACAAACCTGCACATTTAGGCTTAGTTTTTCTCTCAAACTGAAAACACTCTATTCCACCTTGTGATGTCATGTGGTAATACAGGAATTCCATACACCTTCACTAGAATCATGTGGATAATTTTAGCCTTGAAATTATCCAAATAAACTAAAGGTAAGCGGTAGATTAAAACTGAAATTTAACACTACATGACATCATAAGATGAAACAGCATTTTGAGCTTTGGTTTTGTAAACAGACTAACAAATCAGAACTACTCAGACATGTCTATGAAACGAAACACAAGTCCAGGTCTGTTTTTGAGGAGGTAACAACATTCTAACATGGCTAAAGCTCATAAGAGTCCATTTTGTGTAATACAGGACCTTTAAGTTCAGCCATCCAGTAACTAATTCAGACAAAATTACTCATTACATATTTTTATTATTTTATCTTGTGACACTATAAAGTCTCATCCATTTGTAGCAGTCTAAAATAAAAGTTTTATACAGAATAACACAGGAAGGTTGTAATTCTTTGCTTTTTGCCAATTATGACCAATAAAAATAATCTTCCAGGCCTATTTTTATTATTTTTTTGATCAAATAGAATTTTTTTCCTATTTAATTTGTTTTTGTATCCAAGAAATTTCAAGATTTTGATCTCAGATTGTTTCATTCTTTTCAACAGAAGTCAAGTGGTATTTATACAGTAGATATATTTACCACATATTAACAGTAATTGCTCAGTAATAGTCCAGACTTTGAAAGTATTTGAAATTCAGGAGCTTAATCTTAGGAGTCGATCAGACTGAGCTTTGAAAAGCAGCCTGGATCCGCCGCTCCGTGTTCCTTTTCATATTAAAAACACGTGCACTTAAAAATAACTCTTTTTTTTATGCTTAGTTTCCCATGACTTAAAAGAAAAGTGCTGCTGCTGAAGGCACACGTGTCACTGGACACGTGCCAAGCAGAGGGTAGAGGTCCAGCACTGACCTAAAGGAACAAACTTAAAGGAACGAACCTAAAGGAACAAACCTAAAGGAACAAACCTAAAGGAACAAACATGAAGGAACGAACCTAAAAGAACGAACCTAAAGGAACGAACCTAAAGGAACGAACCTAAAGGAACAAACCTAAAGGAACGAACCTGAAGGAACGAACATGAAGGAACGAACCTAAGAGAACGAACATAAAGGAACGCGTCAAGAGCCACATGCTTCAGTACTGACTGTTTTTCTTCTTTTGCGACAAGTGTAAAGCTTTAGTTGCAATATATCAGGCATGTCCAAACTATGGCCCGGGGACCAAATGCGGCCCTCAGACAAATTTTTCTTGGCCCTCAGACTTCCAGGTGAAATGGCCCAAATTATCTTGCATCAATTAAAAAAATATTTTTTTACTGCAAGTTTTTTGAAAGTCTACCTTGATAAAGCTCATATTTCAAATTTAGTGTGTGGTTTTAAGGATCTTAGCATGAATAAAGGACTGATGGCTCATTTGAATGTGTTAAACATGCACAGATTTCAGTTATTCCCTGTACTGAGCTCCAGTCTACAGCCCTCGATCGGCCCTCTGCTTCATCTGTGTTTAGAGATGTGGCCCTTGATGAAAAAACTTTGGACACCCCTGCAATATATTATATTATATATATACTATATATATATATATATATATATATATATATATATATATATATATATATATATATATATATATATATATATATATATATATATATATATATATATATATATATATATATATATATATATATATATATATATATATATATATATATATATATATATATATATATATATATATATATATATATATATATATATATATATATATATATATATATATATATATATATATATATATATATATATATATTATATATTATATTTGCTACAATGAACCTACCAGTGTATTCTCATAATACTGTGGGAAACAGAAATGTGGCTATTTTATTTACAATGAAAACATTACAGTTCTGGGACAGTTAGACCTAGATTTATAAAACACTTGGGGCGGGCCTTGTTTTTTCACTAATCATAAAGCTGGGTTCCTGAGCACCAGTCCATGTAGTGAGTGTATATGTTAGTTGTAGTTCTTCCCTAAAGAGACCCAGGCTTAAGCTTTCACATTTTCCACTTCTTCTGACTCGTTAGAAGAACATTATTGCAGCTAAATACACATTTCCATCCATTTTCACTCCATATGACTAAGACATTATGTGATAATCTTTGATGATGAATGCCCCGACTTTTCCTTCTTTACTCTCTGCTGCAGCAGCATAAACCACCAGCCTCCTCAGCTTCTCCATCTTCTCTGTACACTCTGTACACTGTATATCTGCACTAAACTCCCCTGGTATGTTGTGTACCTGCTGTCCTCTGAGGGGGTTGTGTACCCGTTGTCTTTTTGAGGGGGGGGGGGGTTGTGTACCCGTTGCCTTTTTTGAGGGGGAGGGGGGGTTGTGTACCCGCTGTCTTTTTGAGGGGGAGGGGGGGTTGTGTACCCGCTGTCCTTTGAGGGGGAGGGGGGTTGTGTACCTGTTGTCTTTTTGAGGGGGAGGGGTGTTGTGTACCTGTTGTCTTTTTGAGGGGAGGGGGGGTTGTGTACCTGCTGTCCTTTTGAGGGGGAGGGGGGTTGTGTACCTGCTGTCCTTTGAGGGGGAGGGGGGGTTGTGTACCTGCTGTCCTTTGAGAGAGAGCAGGATGCTGAGTTCTCCGCTGTTCTTCAGAGTGAACACGATGACTTTTCCTGTGTGGTTGAAGCGTGGAGCTCCTGCCACCAGCAGACGCCCGCTCCGGGCTGACACCACTGACGTCACAGTGTAACCTGGAACAACAGCACCCGCTTTCAAACTGAGGAAAGAACATGGGATGTTTTTTGGGGGGGGGGAATTAACGATATTATTGTGTCTTGTGTCAAGATTTGGTTCATGCCTAATGGAACATTTGAGTGAGGACAGAAAATGAACTGTGATTACATTACATTTCAATTGCCTGGGATCCAGAAAACACACCTCTTAAATACTTTATGAAGATGTGAGTCTGGTCTCCAGGGAATCTGTCCATTTTCAGATGGGCGGGATTAACAAGTGGATTCACATGGTTGGTCCAGAGGAAGAAATATCACAGAGGAAAGGTGTATTTCTGTAGAATCAATGAGTGAAGCATTAAACTGTCATTTTGTTCAGAATGACAGAGCTCCTTTGTTTCAGCTCATGCATCACTGAAATAAACAAATCTGATCATATGGTAGTGTCTGAGCCTGACTTGAAGCACGTCCTTGGCAAAAGACTGAGAGTGTGAAACTGAGAAAAATGACTTGTTTTGTCCAGACAAAAGTATAACAGGTAGGGCTCCCAAAATCTGACTAGTTGCTATAATGAAGAAAGTTCCTATTCTCTGTCTTTGTATCATAAGCCAAAAATAAGTTTTGGCAAAGGCCAAAGGCAGAAACTGACATGATCATTATTTGCTTGATTTTGCCACGACTTCCATTCATTATAAGACAAACACCTCACCAAGTTCCAGTCATCATGTGTTTGTTTGAAATAATCTAGAAGAGTTTTGGATTTCCTGTTTAGTGTTGATCAGGATCGTGCTGCGACACTTCCACAGTCAAACAGTTTGACACAAGTGACTCTGCAGTTTAGTACATATAGTACGTTAAGACCCTGAGCCAAGGCTGCAACAAAAAGAAGGAGGCCAGAGGTTGGATTTTAAAATCAAATACATTTATGAACTAAATCACAAACAAAACATACACTGTTTCTGTATCTATCTTTGCACAAAAACATATTTTTGCCTCATGATACAAAGACAGAGGACAGGAACTGACAGATAAGGGTCAAAGGTCAATTTTGAGCTCAATATTTTTCACTATATTTATTCACATGATAAACGAGGCCTCAACACGACATGAACTCGTTTTTGACCGAACATGACGTTACGGCGTTCTGCATTTGTAGGGCAGAATACTGATATCCCTCTATATAAAAACACACAGATATTACTCTGGATTTACCAGACGTTCATTTTACATGATCCTAACTCTTGTGCAGTTCAGTTATTTGGCCACATTATACGTTTCTTACATAATGTCTTTAATTTATTATTTGTCAACAAGTGAGTAATTTCAGGTGTATGGAAATAGAGCAACAGTGGTGATCATTTATGCTCACCACATCAACACAAAGTTTATGACTTTTTTTTTAAACTCCTCACAATAATATCATATTTTTCAATTATCAATGTTGGGGAGTAACAGATTACATGTACCAGAGTTACATAATCAGAGTACAAATTATGAGTAACTGTATTCAGTTACAGTTACTGTTTCAATGAGTGGTAATTGGATTACAGTTACTTTTTTGAAATAAATGGATTACATGTACAATAAATGGATTATATACATATATATATATATATATATATATATATATTATATATATATATATATATATATATATATATATATATATATATATATATATATATATATATATATATATGGTTAAGTAAAGACTGGTCTTTTTATTGTCTTTTAACAGACAAAATGTCTCATGTTAAGATCCTAGTCTTTGCTTCTCTACAGCAACTAATTGCCTGTTAATGGAGACTTGGGCTCAACAGCCAATTTGAAGAAAACAAACAATCTGCAGGATGTGGTTGGTACATTCATGTAGTTTTAAAACGCATGACAATATCAAGTAATCCAAAGTATTCAGATTACGTTACTTGCCTTAAGTAATTATTGAATTACGTTACAAACTACATTTTAGGGTATGTAATCTGTAATCTGTAGGGGAACACATTTTAAAAGGAACCTTCCCAACCCTGTCGATTATAGAAGACAGTGTAGTTGTGAGTGTACATGCTGTTCAGTTCATCTCTTCATAGAACAATATATTAACTAAATAACTGCCACCTTTGCTATTAGGTTTGTATTACTTTTGCAAATGTCAGAATGATTGATTCAAGCCCAAGTCAAAATAAAAAAAGTGTTTCATATTTTCCAGATCAGTGAAGCCACAAAGAAAAAACTGACATCCTTAATATTATTCTGTTCTTAAATGTTCCCGCAATTATTATTTGCTTTTGCTGCATGACTTGAAAAGTGATTTAGACATGTTATTTTTGGGATAAGAACACATTTGTAGATCTAGTTCTTCCATGTATCCCTCTAAACCTGATAGGAGTTTATAGTGACATCCACAATCCTGATTAATAGTAAAATCCTTGGATAATCCTGCCACTCTACGCCCCGTGTGACGTATCTGACAGGCCTGGCTCCTCAGCTGTCTCCTCCGCCGTCCTGCGTATCGTGTTTCCTCTTAAACCCTCTTTCTCACTCGATATTTTTCCGTCTAAATCTTCCAGGCTTTTCCCAGCATTCACGCGTCTGTGCCCTCTCCCGGTCTGGCCCAGCTCCCTGGCTCTGAGCTCCAGGACCAGTCTCCGGGACCAGGCTGATGGTGAAAGCAGGAGGCTGGAGAGGAGCAGCGTGGGGAGGTGGGCCAGGCTGGGTTAGACTGGGCAGCCTGTGAAGTGTGCTGCTAAAGTCATGGGTCGCTCTCAACACCGGTCCTGAATAAAGCAACCTCCACCCAGAACCCATAAGAGAAAGGGCACCATTTAAAACGTCTTAATTTTGTACAAATGATATCTATTTTTTGTATTATAATTTAAGGAGGTGTTAGGGTGTATATTCTAAGTGGAATTAACTGCTAGACATATCTAGATCATAACATATCTAGATTCAGTTTAATTTTTCATGCTCTGAGGCTATGTTCAGACTAGGGATGGGCAGTCGATTAATCGATAATTGATCATTAAGAATTTCATCGATTACGTTCATTTTAATCGACAAACCGAATGTAGTTTGCTGTGTGTAGTGTGACCAAACAGGTCTGTACATGTGTCTCTGCATCAGAAGGAACGAGACACAAACACAAACAGTGGGTCAGTCTGTAACGTACTGAAGCACAAATGTGTATTTAACGATGATTTGTACAAGAACTTCCATGTTTCCGTTGCGTTCGGGACAAGTGGTGAGTCCATGTGCACAGTGTACAAAGCAGCACATATGTTTCAGTGTCCAGTGGGAAAAAAGTTTTGCCAGGTGAGAGTCGCTCAATGTGGATGACGAGTCCCAACCTCCCTCCCCCCGTACAGTGTCCTGGTTTTGACAAACACGAATCTGGTCACACTAACCTGTATTCACCTGAGTCATGTCTTTTAATCCGACAGAAATTGACCGCATCAGCGACACAAGAGCTGTAGTTTTATCTTCGCTTAGTTTATGCGGTTTTAAGTTTTGTTTCTGTGAGAGTTGCACAAAACTGAATTAAACACATTATAATGTCAAACGGGCTGATGTGGCTCTAGGTGGTTACAGTTTATATGTGGTAAAGTTGAATTTATTTATGCAGATTAGTAGTGCAGATAGTAATAATAATGATGATCATTTTAAATAAAAACGTTAATGATTAATCGATAATCGATCGTTAATTCTTCCGACGATCGATTAAGAAAATTTCATCGAATGCCCATCCCTAGTTCAGACTACAGGGCTTTACGCTCAAGTTGGATTTTTTTGTGAAATCTGAAATCGTTCACATTTCCATTTAAATGCAACTTGTATGTGATCCCCAGTGTGAGCTTTAAACTGACCGATATGGATTTTTTTACGGCCGATATGATACCAATAAAATGGGAGTTGGAGGTGCTGATAGTCGATATAAAAGCTGATATATTTAGTGATGTAAAAATTCACTGTAAATCTTCTAATGATTGTAAAACTTAGGTCTGGCTCTACTGGATTTTAAATTGGTTTGTTTAGGCAACAACTATTGTTATTCTGCCTCTTTACGTCATATTTAAAGACAGTAGGTCGGCCTAATGGCATTTTTGCATCACATTCTAGAAAGTACAAGAAGTAAGTAAGTATTAGCCTTTAGCTGTAAATGTGCATGTGCAGCAGTAATTAATTATGCATAAATTCCCAAAATTCATACCTCTATTCACAGCTCATTTACATATCAGTGCAGGTCCAGTAACATGTGCAGACACTATAGTCACTTTACACTAGGACAATGGAAGAAAACAGAGCTACAGCAGCTAACTGCTAAACACTGACAAAGAACTAAAAATTGTTTAAAAAACAACACATTTGCAACACTTACTGCTCACACAGGCTCCTCTCAGATCTCAAGTCTGTACTAATAATCGTCCTTTTAATCCTGACTCAAAATGATCGTCCATAAATATAATATAATCCAGCATGTTGACAGGAGCAGCACCGAATGACGGGACTCTGGGGTGTGTTCAGTGACACACACCCAGACAAATGACGTAAAATAAATACTGATGCGGAGCCACATATTAGGACATTTAAGTGTTTATAAATTGGATTAAATGAACATAGTATAATGAGGTATAACCTGCCCACATGAAATATCAGCCCATATCGGCAAGATTTAGGCCGATAGCCAATATCTCTCCAAGTGCCCATGTCGGCTGATAATATCAGCCAACCAATATTCCAATAACACCCGTCATTTGAAATAATATAACTAGTGAATAACTAACTAGACTATATCCTCCATATCGGGGGGTGGGGGCGAGCTAGTGCCCGCTAGATCCACACTGAGAACCGGGGGAGGGGAGTGATCTGCACAAATCGGCCGGCAATATTGACACTGGTTTAGCCTTGGTTTAGTCTCGATTCAGTCCTATACCAGTCCTGGATTAGTCCCGGTCCAGTCCTGATCCAGTCCTGGTTTAGACCTGGTTTAGTCCTGGTCTAGTACTGGTCTAGTTGCCTTTATACTAACTGCCCTTCCTATTTTTATAGCTGATTTTATGACATATCCAGTCGTAATATCAGTAAAACAGAGTCATTTACGGACTTCGCTTATCCCATGTGAATGTGCTGCAAGTAACATGGATGTGGGGTGGTAATTTACAAATTACTACATGTCCCCAGGTTGTACTTATCCCGTGTGAATACGGCTTTAGCCTTAAGACCTCTTCCTATGCCAATGTGCCATGTCTGTAATGTGTAAAGTAAAAATTCCAATGCAAATTACCTAATATATTTGACCAAACACAGACGTCCGGTGATAATACTAGTCTCGTGTGAATCTGCATCTCAGTGTTTGCTGTAATTGTGCCTTTTCTATCTCTTTTTTTCTTTCCGTGTTCTTTTCTCAGTTAATAGCCCTATTCACACGGGATAAATACAACCTGGGGACGTCTGGTAATTTGCAAATTACTGCCTCACCTTTGTGTTAGTTGCAGCGATAAGGGATAAGTGAAGTCCATGAATGACTCTATTTTACTGACACTGACACAGAGATTAAAAGAGAAAAGAACATGGAAAGAATAGAAAGAGACAGAAAAGGCGCAATTACAACAACAAACACTGAGATGCAAATTCACTAGTGTTATCACCGGACATTTGGTGAAATACAGTACGTCATTTGAGGCTGAATTTTTACTTTACAAATGACAGACATTGCACATTCACACGGGATTAAGATCTCAGACATCCTCCACAATTATTACAAATCACCAAATTTCCACAGGTAACACTAATCTTGGGCTAATAGCAGTAAAATAGAGTCATTTACAGACTTTGCAAATAACACAGAGGTGGGGCGGTAATTTGCAAATTACCAGACGTCCCCAGGTTTTACTCATCATCATAGGGCTTTAGACTTTAATAGCTCACACAACACATTATATTACAATAACAAAGAGTAAAAAAAAATATAAAAATTGTAAAAACCGTCCAAATAAGTAGCAATAAAAACATGGTGTCAAATAAGACATAAAGTATATAAATGTATGTACAGCAGTGTTGTGCAAGTTCACACTTTTTATGAACTAGTTCAAAGTTCAGTTCACACATGGTCAAAGTGAAAAGTTCACGTTCATAGTTCACAATTTTTATTTTGAACTAGTTCAGTGTTAGTTTATTTTATTTTTAGGTGAGATATGTAAATGAAAGACTGAACTTATTTTTCAAACTGACTTCTGACTAAACTGTGAGTATGTCACGTTGGGGGGTGGTTCATGTTTTCAGAGATCATATGTGTGCAGGTTTAGTCGTTTCACTCACTTTATTTATGTTGGTAACTATTTATTTTGGCTACTGTTGTGATGAAAAGACTGAAAAGTGTTTGTCTTTTGGATGCATGTACACTCAACGTTATTTTGCAGTAACAGGGATAATGCGTCTACATGCACCATGACGAAACCAGGATACTCAAAAAACCCGATCATACCTGGGACACTGATGTGCGTGTAAGCGCATTCAGTGAGTGGTACAGTGATTTCCGAGGAGATGCCAGAGCTGAAACGTGGGACCGTGAGGTCGCAACTCCAGTGTTTGACGCAGCTTCGTCTCCTTACACTACACACAGCAACCTACATTCAGTTTGTCGATTAAAAATGAACGTGATCGACAAAATTGTTAACGGTCGATTAGTCGAGTAATCATGCCCATCCCCACTTCACACTACATTACCCAAGCTGCACTGCACACACAAGTGCTCTCTGGTGAGGCTGTGCAGGAGGAGCCTGTGGGCAGTGAGTGACAGCGCAGCAGTTTAAAAAGTGCGAGCAGACCTTGTCACTCGACTCAACAGGTGAAAACAAATTCCAACGTTTAATTGAACCCCAACAGTGATGTATGTTGTTCATTTCACAGAATCTGAATAAATTCACGTTCAAGTTCTTGATTTACATATGCGTTGCGTTCAGTTCAAAGTGAACGTGTTTTTGAACTCGTTCATGTACGACACTGATGTACAGTAAGTAATCAGCATGCATCCGGATAATAAAACTCCTGCACATCGCATCAGGTTTGTGAAGTTGTAGTGTAGTTGTTGCGTATTGTCTTTAAAGAAAGAAATCTAGTATTTAAAGATTGTTCATGCATTTTTTATTACAGAAATATTTAAACATATTGGAAATGGAGAGAAATACAATGAGTTGATCAGATGGGTTCATTGACGACAGCTTCAACAGATTCTCTGGCCCTTTAAGAGCATTGAACATTTTAGGTCTCTAACACAATGCAGTGTGAAGTTATTGAGGTTATTAAGGTCACAAAACCACCATATTGGAGGTCAAACTGTCCATCTGGACAAACGTGTAGTATTTGTGTGTGATAAAATTTGAATTGAATTACAATGGTTTTGACCTGTGTTGTTGTTGGATGTTCTGAGTCAATCTGCTAAAGTAGGAAGCCAAAGTATCTTTCTGTCAGATGCTGGCTGATAAAGATCTCAGACAGAGGTGGAGAGCGGACATAAAAAGAGAGGGATGGAGCCCACTGAGTACAGTCGTCTGTACAGTCAATTCATTCATTTCACTTCTGGTAAGAGACCAGCTCCACACAAAAGAAGAAGGGATTTACACTAAATGAAATTATATATACCAAAAGTATTTTGGTATGAAAAATGATAAACCACTTTCACCGGATTACGTCCATCATTATTCAGGTACACCCCATCTCCAGTGAAAGCCAAAGCAAAACCTTCACTTATTTCCTATTGTGATGGAGCGCCTGTTCTTTACATTTATTTTGGACGAACCCGTGACAACTATGAAAGAAGATTTAACATGAAAAAAACACTGGATACTGGAGGTTAGGCACAGAGCGAGCTTTGATTAAACTAACAAGACAGTCCGTCGGATTTCGATCGGGATCTATTCCACAACCCAGGAGGACGACTTTCTAATGACGGCTGATTTAATGAGCTGGCGATTCAAACAGTTTTATGTTTTTTGCGCTGTTTAAATTCGCCGTGATTATATTGTAAACTGAATAACACCATCCAGATCAACCCCAATCGTGACCTCCAGTATGACCGCCAAAACATTAAATCATGTGACTGCCACGTCACACGCAAATCCTCACTAGTAGTAGAATTATTTACATTTGCAGTAACAAATACTAATACGAATACTTATTTGGAGGTATACTTGAGGTTCATGTTAGAAAACTGTGTCCAAGTAACTTTATAAATAAAATTACAATTTGAAAAAACTAGACTAAATTAATTATGAATGAGGAGTAGTTTAATCTGTCATATACGCTTGAAGACTTAAACTGGGGGGCCTAATTACTTGACTGAGACTAGTCCTTGGAAATTTGCATCCATCTATAATTATTAGTATTACATGAACATGAATATGCTTCGAAGCCTCAGAGCATTGATTTAGCGGTGTTCATTAATGTCAGGGATGCATAAGCAGGGCCAGGTGAGTGTGTGCGTCCCTCACCCAGATAGGCTCCGTGGTTCTTGAGCTCCTCGGGGAACTCCTGCGCGTACGAAGCCTTGGGAGGGATGACCTTTCCCTGCCTCGTCTCCTTCAGCACGGCCCCGTTCCAGTCGTAAGCTCCGACGGCCCCCACCAGAATGCCATCCTGCAACACGGCAACACAGCAAACTTTAGTACGTGTTTTTCTAGTTCTTAGTATAGCACAGCATAATTAGGTAACAGTTTTACATTTTGTTCATCATAAAATCCTGTATTGGGGAGTTGTAGTCGACATGGTGAAGGTCCAATAACTTCCTGATCAAAACCACAGAACTGAGAAACCTCGTCATTGTGGCTTTTTATTTATTATTTCATTTTTTTTAAAGAATGGCCACTGAAAATGCATGATTTAAATGTATCATTACGAAGCTGCTGATACAATACATACCTCAATACATAGGCCATGATACAATACTTATCTCAGTACAGTGCACTTTGATTTGATATGATATATTTCAAATCGATTCAATGCAGTTCAGTAAAAAATAAAGGCTAAATCATGGCTGTGATAGTAAAAGTCTGTGTTAAACCACTTCTTGTGCAAAGTTCAGCCACAGTGGTGCCAGTGGCAAAAAACTGTCATTGTGTCCTTAGGCAAGACACTTCACCCACTTTGCCTAATACAAAAGTGGTGTGAGCGTGAGTGATGGTGGTGGTCGGAGGGGCCGATGGTGCAGATTGGCAGCCTCACTTCCGTCAGCCTGCCCCAGGGCAGCTGTGGCTACAGTAGTAGTTTACCACCACTGAGTGTGGAGTGACTGAATAATGAACTGTAAAGCACTTTGGGGATCTTGAAAGGCACTATATAAATGCTATCAATCAATCAATCTTTGTCACTGACAAAATTTCTAAACTTTTCCATGACATTTCCATGACCTAAAGTGAATTTTCCCTGACTTTACGGCGCCCACATGTGTAGAATTGATCAGACTTTTAGGGCTTGTGAAATGTTAACCCTTTCGTCTCACCTTGTGATTTGATATTATATAGGGATGTAACAATAACTGAAATATCGTGATACTGTATCGTCAAAAGTCTCACAATAATATCGTGGGCTGTCACAATATATCGAATCAAAAATTATTTTGCTTAAATGCATGGTTTTATAGTAGTAACAGCTAAGAAACACAGGAACTGCATATCCCTGATTCATTTCAGTGCAAACAACATGAAGAAATATGTTTTTTACTTGAATTTTTGGGATTATGATGGAAATAATTCACACCAAAATCTTGTCAAGGTATTTTAAAAGCAAAAAACTGTCCTATCTACAATTATATTAACCTCTTCAAAATATAGTAATAATATTGTACCATGAGATTTGGATATCATTACATCCATAGTATTATAGTTTTTTAATATTCAGAATTCTGTCAGTGCATTTATTGTAACAAAACGACACAGACATTCAGAACTAATCATAATAGTCTGATGAAACTTAAGAGAACACTGTAGTTGTGTGAAATAGACTAAAATTTCATGACTTTTCTAAAACTTTCAGTGAATTTACAAAATTCCATGACTTTTCCAGGCCTGGAAAGTGACATTTTCAATTTCCATGACTTTTCCAGGATTTCCATGACTGTGGGAACCTTGAAACAACCAACAAAACTATAGAGTTTTAACAAAATAATTTAGTAAAATATACCAAAAAATACTCTTGGCAATATATCGATACAGCAGCCCACGGTATTGATACTGTGTCATCACATTAAACGATACAATATATCGATATTTCAATATTTTTGCCCACCCCTATTTATCACCTAATGAAAACTAAGTACAGCGATGTGGGCTGAGATAAGTGGTAAGTGAAGACTCAAATATACATCGAGTAATTGTATGTTTAATGCAGCTTTGCGCACATTTGTTTAAGTTTTACAGAAACAAAACTTAAAACCACATGGCTCATTTGCATAAACTATAAGCTCTGGAAAAAAAAAAAAAAAAAAAAAACATGTGCGCTGATGCGGTCAGCTTCTGTCAGACTAACTTACGGCTATGCGGCTTCGTAGTTTACCAAAGTCGTACTAAAACATTTTGACAGATTTTTGAGCTCCATGTACCACATAAAGGATTTTAAGTGCACCTTATAGTCCAAAAAATATGGTAACTGTCTAGAATATGTCCCCTTTAAAACAAGTTTCAGCAGAATGTTCCTTTAAACCACACAGCAGAGACTATACATACTATACATTCATTCTGTTGTTATCACATTTTATATTCTACTTCTTCATGATAGAGCATTCAAATATTAGGTTATTCACTGGCATTTCACTGAGTTTAAAGGAAATCAGGCATTTGACTTAGCGCCTCATGTAACTTATTCAGCGCCTGGGGGCCAATCCCCGTCTTTAGCCAGGATGTTGGTCAGGAGTTGGCAGGAGGAGAAGCCCATTGTACATGTTTAGGCTGATGGGAGAAACAGCCGCATGGAAAGCCACCAGACGTAAGGAGAACATGCAAGATTCACACAGATAGACAGTTTTGAAATTGAACCCAGGATCTTTTTGCGATGAGTTCAGTAGCAAATTAATAGTATGCCCCCTGGAGTTTCCATGGTTCAGAACATAAGCCTCACGCTGGTTGGTGTAGCTTTAACCCTGAGCGCTCCTGACCGCTGTAGCTGTACTGACCGCGCACATACCTCTCTCCTCTGACACTGTGAGCCTCTGTGGTTGTGGTCAGAACAGTCTCCATGGTAAATCATTGAACCCCAAAACACTACAAGCTTATAAAGGCTGACCTACTTTAGACTGAAGGGAAAAGGATTTAGATTCTTTATTAAAAACTTGTCATGGCCATTACTAGTGTTTCAATATGTATGAGCTTTGTGATGTTTCCTCATCGAAAACCTGGAGTTTCTGTGACACTATATAGTAACTACACTACTTACACCGTATTTTTGTACTATTAGACGTGCTCTTAAGCCTCCAACCCCATCACAAAACTGTGTAACATATTAACGTCTATTCAGTCTGTTTTTCTTTAATCTGTTGTAATGACTATAACTTGACTTTCATGATGAAATGTTGGTTCCTGGTCTCTGATTTTATAAAATACATTTCCCCAAAAAGTGTGATTTATACTCCGGTGCGGCTTATATATGTTTTCATCAGTTCTTCATTATACATTTTTTGGCTGGTGTAACTTACACCCCGGAGCAACTTATAGTCTGAAAAATATGGTACTTAGACCATGATCCTTTGCTCTGTTTCAGAGCCGACTACTAGTACATGAAGAAATAACAATTATAAGCACCTTTAAATCTTAATTCTTTGATTAAGACAGAACCAAAATCTTGTCAAGGCATTTTAAAAGGAAAATGCAGTATATTCACATTTCTGTTAGCCTCCACAAAATAGCACAATAAATATCGAACCGTGGGCTGCATGAAAATATCGTACAGAGAGGACTGGATATCGTTACATCCCTAGATGACAGCCTCACCTCCAGAGTATCAATAATGAACAAATTAGTTTATTATGAATGTTCCAGACTTAGTCATTCCTAAATGAAGGAGTGAGAGTTAGAGTTAGGGTTTTAGATAAACTGTTTTTAACCATTTATTTGGTCTTAAATCTTCTTGAAGGTAAAAATGATACAGGCCCCCATGTTGTGATGTCATCAGGTGGTAATGAAGAAGAGCTCCTCGGTGTTTTTGTCACCTTCACCAGACTCAAATTGATCCCTTCAGTTCCTTTTGTGATTAGTCTTATTAAATCTGCTTCACCCCAGTACATCTTTATCTTTATTTAGTCCTTTCTTCATATAAAGCTTGCAGCAAGTGAACACAGTGTTATTTATGTGTCTAGTTTGTTTGTCTAAGAGCAGAGGTTTGACTCCTGTCAGTGGAGTTTGCATGTTCTCTCTGTGTCGGTGTGAGTTTCGTCTTTGTGCTTTGAAACATCCCTTCATTGTATAACCTGCAGATTAGACTCAACATTCAGCTAAGGCCAAAACCACAAGCTTTTACAGTTTCTTTACAAAGTGTGGGTCTGGAACAGTATCATATTTCCCAGATTTCAGACGGGTCTGATTGACAGGTGGGTTAACCAATCAGAAAACATATAGTATGATGGCTTCTGCAGAATCAACAGTAGATGCAATACACTCTATTTCTCTCAGGTAAAATGAGTTATTTTGTTCTGAATTACAGTTGAATATTCAAGAAAAAATGTCTTAGATCTTTTCAGGCTACAAATTAGTCAGGTTTAGAAACTGAACCTAGAACCTTTTTGCTGTGAGACAGAAATTAGTATCATAGTCAGTTTATATTTCTACAAAACGAAGAAGACATACTGTGCTTGTGTTATAAAATTATGTTATAATCTGGATATTGGAATCATTGTTAACGACTTGACTAAACAAAATGACTATGACGTCATCGAAAAATACATGTTTCACTGATTAAGAAAAATAAAATTGGAGAAGAGAGCGGTGGACATGGACTGGTGATGGTGAAAACAAGGGTTGAATGACTTTATGGCGTCTTGAAAATATTTACTCCAAATACAATTTCGAGAGGGTAAATAAGAAGGAAAGACTATAACATGGTTTAAAAGCTCTGAAAAGCCTATTATGCAGAATAGGTCTGCTTTACTGTACGTTGACATTCCCTTTCACTGAAGTTTCCCTGGTACAGAGAGTAAATGCTGGCACTACGACAAATTTCCCTATGGGGACAATAAATACTTAATAAAAAGCAAAGTTCAAGACCAGTAGGACCTACAATCTTGGACTTGCACTGCACTTTCATCATATACATTTTGGACCAAACTGTAGCTACTTTTTGCTATCTCCAGTATCTCTGTGTATGCAGACTCATGCTCCTTCTATGACATAAGCAGCCACCGCACCACTTCCAAAACCATCTGGACCAGGGCTGCGTTTCTCTTTAAAGCTCCACATTCTTTCCTACAGTTTTTTGTCCTTGTCGACTCCAGTTGGTGCAACAAAAATACTGCATTTCCAGTCACTGCCGTATATACCACTTCTATATTTATTCACCATAATAAATTGGAATGTTTATTTATGGCTCCCTGGACAAATCGCACCGTGAAGAGGATGGAAATTTAAATGAAATGGATGATTGGATGTGAGCGGAGAGCCAGAGAGAGAGGGAGGGAGAGAGAGATAGAAGGAGAAAAGAGGAGAGAGAAAGAGAAGAAGGCTTTGAAAGTCTCAGGTAGAGTAAGGACAGGACTGATCTGATCTACAGCGATGTCACATCAGAAATCACACATGTGGTCCTGATGAGAAGAACATACAGGAAGATTTCAATTAAGGAGGAACTGAGTTTTACTGATCAAATAGAGCAAATTGAAAACAGTCAAGACTTACCAAAGTGCTCAACAACAACACTGTGATCGTATTGGTAACAAAGATAAAGAAAAACAATGACATAAAAATGTAATATACAGTAGGGGTGTAACGGTTCATGTATTTGTGCCGAACCATTTCAGTACAGGACGTTGGGTTCGGTGCAGGGCTGTGCATGAGTGAGTTTGTGCAATCTGTGTGTGTTTATATTCCTCCATTACATGTGCAGCTACACTGAAGGCTCGGCTCTTTAATATTCACGAGGGAACCTGTCCGTGATTGGGGTGAGAGTGTTTTCTGCAGCGCTTTACAGTTAGGGTGGATGCAGTGACAACAATTGCCCTCTGTCTTGACTATGTCCCTCTGAACCACGTGAATCCTCACAAAACTATGACCATCACACCGCAGTCCTCACTTTCACCTTTCACCAGCACAGAATCTCCATCCCCTCCATTTGTAACAGCAGCAGATCTGCACTTACTGCAGACAATGTGGACAAGTTGTTTTTTCTGGCCAAAAATATGAAGATTGAGTAAAAGTTCATGCTGGAACTGTTACTTTTTGAAAAGTTTATTTCCTGTTTAAAGAATTTATTTTTTTTATAATATTTCATACATTTGTTGCTCATTTGAGAATATTTGATTTAACTTATTAGTATTACCAAGCAGCACTTTGCATTTATTTTATTTTTCCATTTGTATAATGTTAAAACAAATTGTTGGTTTAATAAAAACACAAATAAACAACAAGCAAATGATCTGGCATTTTCTTCCCATACTGGACTGAAAAACCAAACCGAACCCTCAAAACCGAGGTCTGTACTGAACTGTGACTTTTGTGCATCGTTACACCTCTAGTGTACAGTCTATATAAAAACCAAGGAGTCTTTAGGAGAGATTTAAAGTGCTGCAGTGACAGCAGTTCTGATGTGCAAAGGTAAACTCTTCCACAGTTGTAGTTCAGTCACTTCACCTGGTGTCCCCTGGACACTGATGTGATGCTGCAGGACACAGTGGACACAGAGGAAGGACACTTTTGTCCTGAGGACTGCTACTCATCTCAAACTGCCCTGACACAGGAGCTGATGACTTTAACTGTTGAACTGCTCTGCGACTTTTTTGAACTTTCTATTATTATTGTATTTCAAATTGTCCCTGTGGGATAAATAAAGTGATTTTGACATAAATCTGAGAGTAAAAACAGCGCGCTACTCTATGATAGAAGTTAACTGAGCTAAATAATAGCTCTTTAGGTGAAGTTTGGGCTATTGAAAACTTACAGAAAAATACAGTGTTTGTTATGTGTCCGTACTTTAAAAGCCTGTTGTTTCTATAATGAAAACGAATAAATCAAATGACTTTACTGTAATTAGTGCCTCTGCATACTTCCATCAGCACCTAATGTTTCCCATAGGACCAGACTGTGTGTCATTTCCTATCACTGCACTTGTGGAAGTATAAATCAGGAAGAGCTAACGGGCCACACAGCGGGCCCCCAGGGACCCAGCGGTGATAAACATCAGTGCGGAGAGGAGAGGGGAGGGGCTAACACACGACAGAGACGAGTGTGTGTGACAGACGATGTGAGTGTGTGTGTGTGACAGAGGAGAGAGAGGGATCACTCTAACCTCCACAGTGTGTGCAGAGAAGCCGGCCTGGGACATCTGGAGACCAAACGCAGTGCCGTTCTTACTGGTGCCTGTGAAAACAAAGAGGAGCCTAGTGAGAGGATTCCACAGTTAAACACACACTGCTTCTGCCTGTGAGCCTTTAGATTCACAAAGTCTGCTTTATTTAAGATACTGAACAGCAACACTTTTGGACTAACTCTGAAATGCTAATGACATGAGTTTAGGGAGGATTCCAGAAGGATATTCATTCAGGATTAAGTTAACATAAATAATATTGGTTAGTATACTTTTTATTGGTTGCCATGTGTCCAAAGTGCTGCATTGTCATTATTTGTTCACATGGTAATCTGCTGGTAGCACTTCTGTGGCCACAGCTGCCCTGGGGTTCACTAATGGAACAAACATGCCAATCTACTCCATCATCTTCTCCGACCACCACTAATCACTCACGAATAGACCTATTTAGTGGGTGAAGTGTTTTGCCCAAGGACACAATGACAACATCAGAGTTGGGATCAAGCTGCCAGTTTTGGGTTGGTGGGTGAATTCTCTAACTACTGACAGTTAACCACGCTCACACAAAGAGCAACAAAAGCACTTTCCTGAGTACAGATCACTTTCTCACTGCCTCCAGGATCATAACCACTGGCAGGAGTCACTATGAGTGAGTTTAGTCTCGACCAGCACCTCACGTGTGACTGTGAAGGGTGTTTCCTGATTGGCTGTTGCCGCGGTGATATCACTCTGCATTTGAATAAAGTAAAGTTTTCAACTCTGCGACGCTCAGGTCGTCTGGATTACGCCGCTCTCCTCTCCACTTCCTCTAGTCTCCTCCTGGTCCAGCCAAAGAGAAGACGAATAGAAGCTCCAGCTCTCGTGGCGTGACCGAGGTGTTAGATAACAGATTATGGATCAGTGAAGTCTTGTGAAACTATGTACCATAGTTTTCAGACTATAAGGTGCACCGGATTATAAGGCACATTAAGCAAAACAAATAGACGACACTTGAGACTGATCCTTATCCCATGCGTCCATGATACATTGGCAGATCGTGGCATAACTCACCCGGCGTTGCCTCCCTGTCTTGGTGAATGTGGATTATGAATGTGAATGTGGCTGAATAATTCAAATTTGGATTTTTATTTTCTATGAAGATGACTCAAATATACATTGAGTAAATATGTATTTAATGCAGCTTTGAGCACATTTGCTTACGTTTTACAGAAATGAAACTTAAAACCACATGGCTCATTTGCATTAACTATAAGCGCTGAAAACAAAAACAAAACAAAAAAAACAGCTCTCTCCTTGCGCACTGATGCAGTCAGCTTCTGTCAGATTAATTTAACTCCATGAGGCTTCTGACTATGGCAGCTCTAATGTTCCGACAATCTATCAAGTGGTGTGACTTCGTAGTTTACCAAAGTCATAATAAAACACATCAAGATTCTTGAGCGCCATGTACAACATAAAATCGATTTGAGGTCAGTAAAGACAATCAGAATTAATACATAAGGCGCACTGCTGATTTATGAGAAAATTTAAGGATTTTAAGTCAGCTTTATAGTCAGATTTCCATCCAAAGAGATTTTCATTTAGAGTCTCTGCACTGGATACTGGGGATCAGCAGAAAGTTGTGTGCTCAGACAATAAGAGAATGGAATGAGCATGAGCAACCTTCAGCTGCTGTCCACCTGGTTAACTCTCCCACACAGAGTCTGTACTGTGGAGGAGAGATGTAATGAATGATTGTAATATAGATAACACAGATAGAAAAGAACTCTGAACTGACAACTGCGGAACAAACCAAAAAATCTAACTTAAATCCAGTTGCAAGAAAAGCACAGACAGACAGATTACAGAGTAACAACATGGACTTCAGCAAAACAAATGGAGAAGAATCAGGAGGGAACCAGAAAATGAAAAATGCAGCGTTAACCTCCAGCTTTGAGATCCTTCATGAAAAGAATGTGTGACAAACCTTCCAGGCTGAAGATGCGCTCCCCCAGTGCGTCCACGATGTCTTTGAGTGCAGACTCGTCAGTCACGTTGAAGAAGTGCTTGTCGTCAGGATCACTGGCGATGTACTTGATCTCGTTCAAGAAGGCCTCTGGGTTTATGCCTCTGCGGTTGTAGTAGCCCAACACCTGCCGCCGGGGACAGGACCGACAGGAGCATGTTACAGATATAAGTATAATTGGGGATGTAAGTACTAATTTTAATGTTTACTAGTTTCTTTAGTGTCACCAATTCATTCATGTTCTAGATACAGATGAAGGACAGGGATCTATCATTAAAAACTTTACCAACAATAGAGCAGAGTGAGAGTGAGGCTAAGTAAAAACAAGAGAACACTTTTGTCCTGAAGGTAGTTACTCTCCTCAAACTGCCCTGACAAAGAACCTGTTGACCCTCCCTGACCAGTCCTCCAGATAACACGCACTGACCTTTGACTGAGACACAAAAGAGACTAAGAATTGCAGTGATTATTCCTTTTGGGTTTGACTTTAAATTATAGGGGTTTTCTAGAATGTTGTTATGTGAATGCATTTTCTTATTTATTTTGTTTCTGGTGCAGTGACCCAAAGGTTACAGTCTTATGAAGACAGCTTAACCAGTCTCATGGCCCTGTCACACCTTGACCATTTAGCCAGGGTAGCCGACGTACCACAATTTCCCTAAAACTCTGGCATACACTAAACTATCAATGTTTTTATTTTTCAATTTTGGGTGTATACATAGTGTATTTGTAATGAATTGGACATATGGATAACATATTAGTAACTTAATATTAGAACGTTTTCATAACTTATATTTAACTTATACCAACTAATGCTTAGCATGTTGCTGGCGTCCACAACTTATGCCCAACGACAGTCTAACTTATGCATAGCACACGGAAGCATACCACCGACAATCACGCGTCGTCACCTATAAAAAGGCTGCCGCTCAAAGATTCATAACTGCACTAGACATTGCAGTAGCAACATTAATCAGCATCATGCTGAAGACAACTCCAAACCATGAATGTCTGGAGGAGTACAGACAGTTTCCCATTTTTATACCAATTTACCTAAACGCTGCTAATACACCATTATTCTGTAGTTATAAGTTAGAAACACGTTCAGTAAGTTCTGTGGTTGTCTGAAACATGTAAAATATGTCTGCATATGTCAATATGCATTGGAGTTTAGCTTGAGTTACACACAGGTTCAAAGCACGGTACTCATAAGTTATGTGTACACTAGATATTATCTCAACATATTTGGACTTATGAGTAACTTACACTTAATGTGTGAGAATTTGTGTGAATGTATGGCCCACGTATACAGGACGTATAAACACACATTGACATATGTTGAGATTTTTTGACGACCTTGCCATTTGTCGCCGTATGCCAGCGTACTTTACCGTGCTCAGAACTTATACAAAATATACCTATAATTTATCTGACTTACACCAGCGTGTTTGCCAACTTGTTCAGCATACGCTGTCTAAATCATTACGGTGTGACAGCCCCTTCAGCAATAGAATAATATGAACATGGATCAAGTCCTTTCATTTTTCTGGCTTCACACTCAGAGCTCTTCAGAGACCTTCTTCACTGCCTTGGACTCCTCGCCCGTGTTCCTGATTTGTGGGTGCACTGGGACACCCCTGTGTGCTGGGTGTTAAGTGCCTGAGACTCACAGCGATGGCGTAGCGCGTGATGCCCTCCCTCTCGCTGTCCTCGATGGCCTGCTGCAGGTCAGGGCTGTCGTGGGACTCTCCGTCAGTGATCACGATCATCACCTTCTTAGCCCCGCGCCGGCCGCCATGTTTGAAGCCTTCTGAACTGTAGCAACCACAACACACTTTAACACAACGCACACGTTCTGTGTGAACAGGAGTGGATGTATCATCTGTGTGCAGAACTACACAAGAAACACACAGTTATTTTGTTTTGTTCCACAAGAGACTGTGCCCAGAGTCTGCAGCTGTAAACACAGAGCAGACAGGGTTCTGCTGTTGCTCCACACACTGGTGCTGGAGGGAAGTGAACATGTATCTCACAAACACATTACACACTGTTAATATCCACATGCAGTATTTGTTGCCATTATTTTTTTGTACGTCTTTAAAACATGGGTGGACTCCAAAGTGCAGCCAGTCAGAGTGCTGATTTCTTCTGGGTTTACAGAAAATAATGCTCAAGTGCAGACAGTGCTGCCTTCCTCACCGTGCCACGTTGATGCCCAGAGCTGTGTTGGTCTCTTCTCCTCCCCTCTGGTTGATGCTTCTCGCTCTCTTCACCACCTCCTCCACCGACTTGTAGTCATTCAGCTGGAACTCATGGACCACCTTCTCCCCATACTGCACCACTCCAACCTGACCCATGAGCACATGGTTAACTGTACATTAGAATGTTATATGTTTTATGTAAAAAACAAAACAAAAAACAAACACGTTAAATCTGTGAATCTTAAACCCTCTCAAAAGTGAATGCACCAGGATGTGTTCAAATCGTACCCTGTGATCTCAATATCAGATGTAGAACCTGACTGCAAAAATATTTACAATAATTGGGAGTTGTTGTATGTGTGTTGCATATGTGTTGTAGATGTGTTGTATATGTGTGATGTGTTGTATATGTGTGATGTGTTGTATATGTGTGATGTGTTGTATATGTGTGATGTGTTGTATGATGTGTGATGTGTTGTATATGTGTGATGTGTGTGTGATGTGTATGTGTGACGTGTTGTAGATGTGTGACGTGTGTTGTGAATATGTGTGATGTGTGTGTTGTATATGTGTGATGTGTTGTATATGTGTGATGTGTTGTGTATGTGTGATGTGTTGTATATGTGTGATGTGTTGTATGTGTTGTGTGATGTGTTGTATATGTGTGATGTGTTGTATGTGTGTGTGATGTGTGTGATGTGTTGTATATGTGTGATGTGTTGTATATGTGTGATGTGTTGTATATGTTGTGATGTTGTGTATGTGTATGTGTTGTATATGTGTGTGTGTGTGTGTGACGTGTTGTATATGTGTGATGTGTTGTATATGTGTGATGTGTTGTGTATGTGTGATGTGTTGTATATGTGTGATGTGTTGTAGATGTGTGATGTGTTGTATGATGTGTGATGTGTTGTATATGTGTGATGTGTTGTGTATGTGTGATGTGTTGTATATGTGTGATGTGTTGTGTATGTGTGATGTGTTGTATGTGTGATGGTGTGATTGTGATGTGTTGTATGTGTGATGTGTTGTAGATGTGTGATGTGTGTGTATGTGTGTGATGTGTTGTAGATGTGTGATGTGTGATGTGTTGTATATGTGTGATGTGTTGTATATGTGTGATGTGTTGTATATGTTGTGATGTGTTTGTGTATGTGTGTATGTGTGATGTGTTGTATATGTGTGATGTGTGTATATGTGTGTGTGTGTGATGTGTGATGTGTTGTGATATGTGTGATGTGTTGTATATGTGTGATTGTGTGTGTGTGATGTGTTGTATGTGTGATGTGTGTATGTGTTGTATATGTGTATGTGTGATGTGTTGTATATGTGTGATGTGTTGTATATGTGTGACGTGTTGTATATGTGTGATGTGTTGTATATGTGTGATGTGTTGTATATGTGTGACGTGTTGTATATGTGTGATGTGTTGTATATGTGTGATGTGTTGTATATGTGTGATGTGTTGTATATGTGTGATGTGTTGTATATGTGTGATGTGTTGTATATGTGTGACGTGTTGTATATGTGTGACGTGTTGTATATGTGTGACGTGTTGTATGTGTGATGTGTTGTATATGTGTGACGTGTTGTATGTGTGATGTGTTGTATATGTGTGACGTGTTGTATATGTGTGACGTGTTGTATGTGTGATGTGTTGTATATGTGTGATGTGTTGTATATGTGTGATGTGTTGTATATGTGTGTGTTGTATGTATGATGTGTGATGTGTTGTGTATGTGTGATGTGTGTTGTGATGTGTTGTGTATGTGTGACGTGTTGTATATGTGTGATGTGTTGTATATGTGTGATGTGTTGTATATGTGTGATGTGTTGTATATGTGTGATGTGTTGTATATGTGTGATGTGTTGTATATGTGTGATGTGTTGTATATGTGTTGTATATGTGTGACGTGTTGTATATGTGTGATGTGTTGTATGTGTGATGTGTTGTATATGTGTGATGTGTTGTATATGCCATCTTGTTCAGTCCATTTGGTGTGTGTTTAGTTCCTGTACTGTTGTACTGCATTTTTCTATCCTTACAAATCACAGTTCATAAAAAAAATCATTTCAAAAGTACAAGTACTTTGGTCAAAAATAATAAGCACAGAATCCTATAGTAAACCCCTCCATGAGCAGAGTGTTCCTGGTTCTTCTACACACCTGGATCTGACCTGGTCCCACATAGAACTTCTGCAGAATGTTGATGAGAAAAGCCTGCACTTCGTACCAGGGGTAGATGGAGTTGGATCCATCCAGAACGATCACGATGTCCATGTAGGTCTCACACCCTGAAAGAGTCAGAGCATTGGTCAGGCGGAGCTGGGCTGTGTGCAGATGGTTAGAGCAGATGTGCACTAATGACTGTGTGCTGTGCCAAAGAGAAACATTCTAGTTACAGACAGAGAGAGAAGTTCTGTTGGAATTTGGCCTTATAAGACATTACACAAAACAGTTAGGCTGGCAATCATTTTACACTGCAAAAGAAATTATATTTTGTCAGCTGGACAAAAGATCTTTTTACTTTTTTTTCACTTCCCATTCATGAGGCTTCTTCAGTTCAGGTTAGAGATGTGACACTGCTGTATATCTGTCTGAAGAGAGGAGCTAAAAACACTTGAATGAACTGTCCCTGAGCCATATTATGCATAATTTTTCGGGTGATCTGAAGAATTATATAAAAGTCAGACACAGTTCACCCTTAGTGTAGTTCAACAGACCTAGCTAATGAAATGAAACTGTAAACCAATGCTATAGTATAAAGTTAGTGTCAACATACCTGGACGACTGAAGGATTAAACTGTATTACACTTAATCTGTGCCATAAACCCTCTGACTACCAACTGTCACTCACACACCACCTATAGGCAGGGAGGATGAACTATTGTGACACAAAATCAGTGTGCACTGGTTTGGGCAGGAGTTATTCGCTCACTTGAGCCACTGCTTCCCCAGCTACAGTACTATGGGTCTAGGGAAAAGTCTGTGGGAAAATGAATGGGAATTTGACTTTATGGAAACAAGAACAGCCGACCCACATTCAAGTCCCAAACCAATGAAGAAGTTTGACCGGGATGTAGAATGCACACTTTTTGACAGGTGGATTTGTTGATTGACAGGTGCATTAGCCAATATTTGAACACTCATGGTCTGTCCATGTCAAAAGAAATCCAAAATAAAAAAAAAAAACAAAAGAAAAGAAAGGGAAACATCACAGGGAACTGAAAAACATGGCAGAGTTCAGCAGAATCAATGAGCACAGCAAACATGTGTTTGTAAATGAAAGGTGACCAATGAGCTGCTTTGTTTGATACAAATGAGTGAAATAAACAAATCTGATTGGATCAATCTGTATCAATGTCAATTTGTATTAAAAATACAGAGATATTGGTCTGGATTAGGCGCGAGGTTTTAGCAGTTTATGCAAAGAGCTCAAACAGAGCTTTTAGATCTGTTTAGGAGACACCCTCCCCAAACAGGATTACATAAAGATGTGAATAAAAACAGAATTGCTTTGTAAACAACGTTATAACATATAAGTAGACATGGCAGTACACTGCTCCTTACAGGTCAGACTGTGGGACTTACGCTGGAAGGCGGGGGCTATGGTCCTGGAGAACTTGAAGCTGGCGTTGACTCTGGAGCAGATTCCGGTGCTGTAATATGAACTTCCACACTCATAGGACCAGAGAGGACCACAGGCCTGAGAGCAGAACAGACACACATGAAGTACCATGTACACGCAGTACTCAAGACATGCACATGCTGAAGGTCAGAGGCCATTTAAATACAGTAAAGAAAAAGGTAAAGATGAGTCTGGCAAAGCTGAACATGTGGGTAGTACTCGGTTACATTTACTCACTTACATTTACTTGAGTAACGTTTTAAAGAATTATGAATTTCTTTTTTCTAAGTCTTGATCCTTGTTTTTTCCAAGAGCACCTACACCTGATCTGACATCTGTAGCAAACAGCCACATGTTTTTCTGTACAACTTTTACTTTTTACCTTTACTAGAACTTTTCTAGTAGCATACTTTTACTTGAGAAATATTTTAATTGAAGTACTGGAGTAAAGGTTTTACTTCCTCTTTCTGCTGTGAGTAGGGTTATGGTTACATAAGACTTGTTAAGTCTACAAGTGAAAAAGCTTTATGTGACAATATGAAGTGATTTGAACTAGGGCCCGACCGATATGGATTTTGTTGTGGCCGATATGAAACCGATATAATGTGAGTTGGAGCTGCCGATAGCCGATATAATCACCGATATATTTAGTGATGTAAAAATTCACTGTAAATCTTGAATTGTTTAAAAAACTTAGGTTTGGCTCTGGTGGATTCTAAATTGGGTTTATTTAGGCAACATTTATTGTTATTCTGACTCTTTACATCATATTTACAGACAGTAGATTGACCTAATGGCATTTTTGCATCACATTCTAGCTACTAGTGATGGGTATTCCAGTTCTTTTTAAAGAACCGACTCTTTTGGCTCGGCTCACTAAAAGCAGCTGGCTCTTTCGGCTCTCAAGCGACTCTTCAGGTTGTTTTGTTGCAAGCAGGTCTAAAACACGTCTAAAGCAGGACTGAATCAGGACTAAAAAAGGACTAAACCATTACTAAAATAGATCTAAACCATGTGCAAAACAGGACTAAAACAGAACTGAACCAGGACTGAGTGTCGGGACTCGGTCTCTATCTCTCTCCTTCTCTCGAGCCCAAGATTAGTCCTGGTTTATTTATTTTATGCTGAACTACAGACAAACATGCACATTTTTTCTCTCCTATGCACACACAGATTTCTGAAAGTTTTGTTTTTAGCCGCAGCCGCTGTCAAACTCCCATGAGTCTGCACGCGACGTGAAGAGAAAAAATGTGAGAGAAAGAGAAAACACCACCCATCACTAGCTAGTTAAGAAATAAACTACTGCTATTAGCCTTTAGGCGTCAATGCTGCGCGCCGTGGTAATTCATTATATGCGCAAATTTTATCATTCACACGTATCTTCACCGCTCATTTACATATCAGTGCTGATCCAGTAACATTATACGGCCAGTATAGTCACTTTACAATACTATAGGCGAGTTTCATTGTTGACAAAAGCGCGCGTTGCATGCTGGGAATTATTTTGGTCGGCGGCAAGAAACACTAATTCAACATGACGGACGGAGCGAGAAAGCACGTAAAGGGTATTGATCCCGGTTATTTATCCACTCTAACGGCAGAGGACCCAAGATGATTAGACCAGAAATTAGTCATAAACATCGATGGAGCCAAATCACCCTTTTCAACCCCGACAGAGTCTGGACCAAACCAAATTTCTGGTCAGAATCGCCAACTACCTGGACAAATATTCACTTCGGTGATATCCACAATGACTTGGTGGAAACTCCTGGGCCATTTACAGCAGAAAAGATGAAAACCTCCAAGAGTCTCGATGTGTTGTTGAACTTGTTGGAGTCCACGGTTTGTTAGGATCTTCTGCGTTTGCTCTGCGGATGTTTGAAAGTCGTTTAATTCACCGTTAGTGCTTCTTTTCACTCAGAATACGAAAAAGACATTTTCCTTCTTCCGTCCTTCTATTTGTGCATCCGATAATGCAGCAGGAATTTACCATTATCAGCGATATATACGCGAGGTTACGCACTGTGTTTGACGCTATCGTGTTTCTTGCCTCCGACCAAAATATTTCCCAGCATGCAACGCGGACTTTTAATAACAATGACGTCAGCTGAAACTCACCTATAGACCAGTAGAAAACAGCCTGTTTACTTGTGGGAGCTACAGCAGCTAATCGCTAAACAATTACAAATAACCTAAACTAGCTTCAAAGTCGACATATTTCCAAAACTCAGCGCTCACACAGACTCCTCCTCACATCACAAGTCTGCACTAATAAATGTCCTTTTAATCCAGACGCAAACCGATTGTCCGTAAAAAGAATATAATCTCAATGTGTGTGCGAGTGTAAACAAACACACATGACTCTGGGGGTGTGTTCAGGGACAGTACGATACACACACAGAAAAATGACTCTGCAGATAAATACTGATGCGGAGCCACATATTAGGACATTTATCTGTCTGTAAATTGGATTAAATGAACAGAATGTAGAGAGTCTAAGCTTTATAAGAGGTATCACATGCCCACATGAAATATCGGCCCATATCCAGTCCCCATATCAGTCAATAATATCGGCCAACAGATATATCGGTCGGGCTTTAATTTGAACATTTGTGTTTCTTGCAGCGCTCCAGTCAGAAAGTTTGTGGTCTATTGTTAATATAAAATC